CCCTACTCCCACATGGAGCAAGGGGGATTCAGGGCTTCAGATTAGTCACCACTCACTGCTCCCTGGACATAGGCTTGTGCCAGAGGCCATTTAATCCCAATTTCAGAAAACTGCTGTGTGTGTGATTGTAGCAGTGACAAGGGTTTAAGTCTGTATTTCTCCCTTTCAGCAAAGACTAGAAAGAGATGCTGAGAAGAAGATAGTAATTCTGGCAGAGAGAGCCCACCATGAGGCAATTATGTAAGAGCCACTTGCTTTCTTTGTTCCCCAGTTACAATGAGAAGTCACAGAGCCACTGCAACACTTTTTCTTAGAAATAACTGCCCTTCTCCCTTAGAAATAATTGCCATGCTGCCCACATCACAGTACTGAACAGGGCCTGGGGGGCAGTTGGGGGGTACAAAATGGTAAAGGGCCTTTTGGACTTTAAAACAGTCACCATCACCACCCTGACATACCTATGTAAGTATATGACTTGGCAATGTTGTCTCAGTGATACGCTCATGATCCCCCCACCCTTGTCTTGTTCACTCCCAGTGCTGGAAGAAAAGTTATATTACTTGACACGGCCTAAAAAGAGTTCATGAACTAATTTTAATCTTGAATTAGGACATTGAAGTGTTGCTGTTAATACGTGAAGAACACAATGAATGTGAGGAAAATTCTCTGTTTCCTTTGTTCAGGCAGTTGAACAGCACTGGGAGAGCTGTGTTCAAGGAGAATGTTCGTCTTCATGAGGCTCTTGCTTACCACCTGAAGGAGTCAGAAGAGCTACAAAAAATCAAGGAGCAGCTGGAGAAGGACAAAGCTCTTCTCTTGCAGGAGAAGGTTCCTGGTCTGGTTTCTAATTTTATTTCAGGCTTCCCCAGAAAGAAGCCCTTGAAATCCAAGCCTGGATAGAGATTCTAGTTCACTGGGACTAGCATCTTCCCCATCAGACACTCCCACAATTTAAGGGAGTTGGAAGTTGTATGAATAAATAACAGGTTCTTATTCTGTTCTTCCAATTGTGAAGGGGAAAGAGAAAAGGTTTCTTATGGCGCTGTCTCTGGGCAGTTCCATGTGCTGTAAGTATGCAATGGCAAGTGTTCAATTAAGACAGTCTTCCACTTGCATCTCTCGTAGGCAGAGTCCAGGGCCCAGATTACTACTTGCTTTCCAGTGTGTGATGGCACCAGAGTATCTACCACGCTGATGTAAATCATGTGCTGCCATTGTCAGAAGAAATCTAAGAGTTTGGGGTGACTAAGATAAAAATCCAAATAATTTTCTCTTGTTCTTTAGGAAACCAATGACAGTTTGGTTCAGGAAAAGATCCTGCAAATAACTCAGCAGAAAGCCCAGATCCAGGATTTGCAGCACAAGGTAGAGAAGCTGGAGATAGCCCTACATCATATGACCAGAGAGTTTGAAACAGAAATTCAGAAAACACAGCATCAGGCCTTAGTGCCGAACCAGGCATGTATGGTAGAGGTTAACAAGCTGCAGCAACTGCTGGAGATGAAGGATCGGGAGATGAACCGAGTGAAAAAACTGGCCAAGAACATCTTGGATGAAAGGACTGAGGTGGAAAGGTTCTTCCTAGAAGCTCTGGAACAGGTGAAGCATGAGATCATAACCAGCAGGAAGCGCTGCAGGCAGTTGGCCCAGGCTGCCTATCAGAGGAAAATGATGGCAGCATTTGCAGGGAAAGAAGAGTACCCTAACATCAGAACATTTAAGAGCCACCTCAACAGCACAAATTACATGTTCAGCAATCCATGGGAGGCAGAAAAATGGTACATGGACTGAAACAATAGAAACCATTGTGCCCATTCCCCTCATTCACAGGAATTGAACCTAACAAATCCTGCATCTATGCAGGAGGTTGGATTAGAAGACCTTCAAGGTCCCTTCCAACCCTTCTATAGGTCTGAGCCTAAAAAATGTATATGCAATAATCTTACCCAGATTAGGAATATTTTAGGAGGCTGCTATAGTTGTAAGGAGGGAAGATGTTCAGCAAGGATACTGCAGATTCCATAGGACAGGTTTGGAAGTGTCAGGACTGCTGCATCTCTGAAAAACACAAAAGAAAGGAGAGATTCAGGACAATATTACATTAATAGCCCCAGATACTAAAGTCCTCTGGCTTCATAGGGCAGGGTTGCCCACATATTTTTGAAGAGTGAACACTTAGTAGTAAGTACCTGGATCTGCAACGGATTCTTTTCTCCATCTAATGGAGGGAGCAGTATGCAAAAAGGTAGGAGTCTCCTTAGCTAGTCTTAAAGTGGGATCCATTGCCAGACCCTGGCAGGCCAGCAATAGCCAGCAAAAACTACAATAAAAGGGAGAAAATTATGAGTCTCTCTTGTGAGAGGTATGATCTATTGACAAGTACTTATATAAAACAGTTTCCAAATTTTTCATGCTTCCTTCTCAGTATTTGATACATACATCTTCTTGCTCTATTGCTTTTCTGGGTTACAAGTTCCTTCCTTGGTTATAACTAAATTCTTAGTTTTCCCTGTAATTCATGCTACCTGGTTAAGACTGGATACAGAAGATGCCTGGCTCTGTAACTTCCTTGAACTTAGAGGGAAGAGAAAAGACACTACAATACTTGCTCCTGCATTTGCTGACTGAATTGAGGTGGGGATTCTCTGTTTCCAGCCAGTAGAACAAGCAGCTTTATGTGATGTGGCAGGCATTCTTAATTTCCTTCGTAGGCATTATTTGCCTTAGTGTGGTTGTATATAGCCCAGTATGTTTCCAGACATATTGGAATACTAATCCGCTAGCCATATCAGATAAGGTGACATGGAATTACATGCCTGGATCAATGTAAAGTTCCATATATTATATAGTTAAAGCAGTATCAAGCCACAGAATAAGTACTGTATGGACAGTGAAGTACAAACTTCTCCTACATGATGCTACTAGTGTCCCAAACCTTTTCTTAGCTATTTGCAAACCAAAGAGAAGTTTTGTCTCTATGACTCATTTACCATAGTCCTTGGTAATTTTGCTGATGGTTAATAAATTAATGCCACTTTTGATTTGGAAACCTGTCACCTGAAAAAGACCAAGTCATTTCAATCAAGCTATCACTTTTTTTCTATTACTATCCTGGATCAAATTCAAAATGATAAGCTAGACATAGGGCTCTGTATATTTCACAACTCTATGGCTGCAGAATTTGATGTGGAATTTGCTCTTCGCTGTGTAGTAGAACTTTAGAACATAAGACTTCCTTCTACAAATAATGCATATCTAGCCTTCTTGCTTATGCAGACATTTTTGCAAATGTGTCCAGAGTAAAACCAATGTAGTAATGTCTTCCTGAGTCTGAAGTTAGTCTGGAAGAATAGCTCTGGGAGGGATTGACTTATTCATTCCAAGGGTACATTAACCTGAAGAAGACAGTTAAAATACCAGCATTATTTATTT